CCGCCCTGCCGCCATGCGCCGGGCGTCCGCCTGGGCGTGGTGATTTTTTTAGGAGATTTTTTTGTTAGTCTTTTTTAGTCTTTGTTTGGTCGGGTAGGGTGGGTGGAGTGTAGGGGGTAGGGGTGAAATTTGAAAGTGTATGTGCGGTTTCGGCGTTTGATTTTGGTCATCCTGCAGGAGTACGGAGGGGTGCTTTAGAGGGTGTGCGGTTGGGGTAAAAGGGGGGGTAGGGGGTAGACAGACCGGATGTTCAGGGAGTGGGGGAGGGGTCCAAAAAGGGTCACGACAACCCGTACTGCATGCTCATTGCTGAATTGCTCATGGGTGATGATGATAACTTTTCTTTCAGTTTCCCTTATATTTGTCTTCTCTGATATCAATAAGATTGAATCTTGTATGGGAATCACTGCCAAATGAAATCAGCATGCATGCTTTGAAGTCGAATAATGTGTTTTTGGGCCTTTATCGTTGTTGTTCTCTGCATCTTTGAAACATCAAAACAAACTGTGCTCATTTGCAGCATTCTTCTTCACGATTCGCACTCGCAAGACAAATGGTTTGACCAAGATTGAGGTGTAAAAAAACAGCAAAGAGTATCGTCCCATCAGCAAGTTGGAGCGATTGGGATGCAGTACGGGTCGTCGTGACCCTTTTTGGACCCCTCCCCACTCCCTGAACATCCGGTCTGTCTACCCCCTACCCCTCCCTTTTACCCCAACCGCACACCCTCTAAAGCACCCCTCCGTACTCCTGCAGGATGACCAAAATCAAACGCCGAAACCGCACATACACTTTCAAATTTCACCCCTACCCCCTACACTCCACCCACCCTACCCGACCAAACAAAGACTAAAAAAGACTAACAAAAAAATCTCCTAAAAAAATCACCACGCCCAGGCGGACGCCCGGCGCATGGCGGCAGGGCGGAGAGCAAGAAGGAAGGGGAGGGAGCAGCAGCAGCAGCAGTAGACCGTCTACCCTCCCCTTCCGTCCCCAACATCACTCCAGTCATCGCCTCGACTCTCTTCTCTCGCGCCTGCCCCCCCTCGCACGAGCAAGCTCAAGCCCCCTAGAGCTCAGGTGAGGACTCGAGGACGAGGGGCCGTCCTGGCCCGGGGGTGGGTCAGAGCTCGCGGATGAGGGGCCCGAGAGACTGAGGGGATGAGCGAGCAACCCAAGGCAAGAGACTCCGTCACCGTCACCCCCAAGCGAGCAGGGGAAGGAGCAAGCGCCTACGACGTGCAGCTCGACCTCACCATCATCGAGCCTCTCTTCCACATGCGACAGAAGGACGCGGCCAAGTTCCTGGTGAGCGCGAGCGCGAGCTCGAGCAAGCTTGCTCGCATGCGCCTGACGACGCTGGCAGGGCATCTCGTTGACGACGCTCAAGCGATCTTGTCGCCTCCTCGGGGTGCAGCGATGGCCGTACGCTGAGCTGCGCGACGGGAGGGCAGGGAACCAGGCCCTGCTCCTCGGCCTCGGGGACGAGGACGAGGACGAGGACGAGGACGAGATAGGAGGAGTCGGCGGTCAGAGAGGAGCAGGGCAGGGGCAGAGGCAGGGGCCGGGGCAGGCGCGAGCGCGACGAGGAGCGGGCATGGGCAACGAGCGCCGCCCGAGCGAGATGTGCCGCCTCGCCGGGGCCCGGCGAGCGTCTGGACGGCGTCGCAGGGCAGCGGAGGAGCGGAGACGAGCAGCGCGGGGTGTCGTCAAGCAGCAGGACGACGCCGAGGATCGACGGGGAGGGAACGAGCAGCCCGCAGAGCCGGGGGGAGACACCAGGGTCGCACACAGAGTCAGCACCCGAGCCTTCCTCGCAAGCCATCGACGCGCACTGGCTGGAGTGGTACTTGTCGTGCGAGGACGAGGAGGAGATGTGAAGAGGGGAGGGAGGCCCCCCCCGGCGATGTGAAGAGGGGAGGGGCGTCAGCGGAGGCATAGAGGATAGCATACATGCTGTTGTAAGATGCAAGGAGATACAAACATAACAGCGCTGACAGAAGAAAACGTCAGCATTGATTAACCTGACCCATGTCTGCTGCCCATCCCCCGACCTCCTCCTCCTCAACGACACGACGTTGACGTCTTTGCGCTTCAGGCTCTCGCTGGCCTGCCCGCGCGCTGCCTCCTTGCTCCCTCCTGCTCCAGTCTGTTGAGTCGTCGCCTCCTCTCGCTGCTGCCCGTCGCTCTCCCTCCCATCACCGGTCGCCCTGTACTCTCTGTCCTCCCCATCGCTTGTCGGCTTGCTGCTCACTCTCCATCCGTCTCGTCCTCATCCCCGTCGCTTTCGCATTCTCCTGTCATCTGCTACCTACCCGGGAGAGTGTATGCCTGCATGCACATGTCAGACATGTCGGCACTGCATGGCTTGCCCTCTATGCCCGTATCGTCCCCTCCTGCCTGCGTCTCTATCGCTCTTCCTCTTGCCTCCCCTACTGCCCTCTCGCTTGCCTTCCCTTCTTTGTCCTCCCAATCAACTCCCGTCCCCTACGCCTCCTCCCCGCTCCCCTTCACTCTCCCCTCCCTCCTCTCCCCCCTTCCCCCCTCCCCCGTGCTCTGCCCCTGCCCGCCGACCTTCGCCTCCCGCCGCCTCCTCCCTGCGACCAACCTCCGTCGCCATGACAGGAAGGCGACAGGAGTCTCGAGGGGTGGGGGTGGTGAGGGAGCCAAACTAGGGGGGTGCATCCTCCCCCCTGCAAGCTC